CTAAAACGCAGAAAGTGAAAGAGAATGATCAAATTGAAAATGGAGAGGCTTGAGGAAAGGACAACAAATGGAACAGGGTTCAAGAAGGCAGGAGATGTGATTAACGCTGCATTTAAAATTTTGAGAATTGTAGCTATCAGGGAAGCAAGAAATTGGAAGGGACATCCACAAGCGAGAAGTGCGAGGAAATAAACTGCTAGAGTAAAAGTGGCAGGTACATCTAGTAAATTAAGCGAACAAGTGGTGAACAAAATGTTGAGTTAAAGGGCGATAACTGAGTCACCCGGAAGAGGCATGGCCCGTGGAACAAGAATAATCTACCCCGGTGCACGAAATAAAGGGTTCCGTTCGAAATTCCAAGCACCCGAAGAAGGCCAGAGCGTACAACTGAAACCTCGTGAACACGGCAATAAAGATGAAGATAACATTCCGAACAATGTAAATAAGGTAAATAATTATATTATCTCAACTCAATATAGGCCGCGTAAAATCTATTAAAGAAGTTCTTATGGACAATACCAGTACAAACACTGTCTGCGAGGCAGGGCTTATTACAGTTCTGGAGAAAAAACTTAAAAGAATGTTGCACATCATTGGCTGCTCACTGTTTTTAAGTACATTGATGGCGCTACAAGAAACCCTACTACTTTTACAGGTCCTCTAGGGAAATTGTGTGAAAATGATTACCAGGATTTGCTCTAGGTAGAATTTAATATTAACAGTGGCACACTGGGTAACTTATATCTTACGACAACGGAAATGGAAGCTTTAAGAGGTGACTAGAGACTGCTCTTAGACTGTGTAGCAGGAATTTCTCGAAAGGAAAGTGAACATTAGATATACTACTTGGAAAACAGGGTCTCTAAGTCAAACAAGATGCCTTACTTTAGCCATCAAGTTAATGTGTTTATGTACAAAAAGTACCTATCTACCAGAACTCTACGATAAATTGTACAGCCTTATAAAATGTATCATTGAAATATATGCTGTTAATTGGTTTGAAATTAAAAAAAGGATAGTAATATCATAACCGTCAACCATGTCTTCAACATGATCCAGATAATAAATCGAATCGACTGAAAAACGGAATATCCCATTATAAAATTTACAGGACAAAAATATTTTTTGCTTCAAAAGTAGCGAGCCACCGAAGAAGATATTAAAAAAAAATACATTAAATTCTGAAGCGACACGCTGGTCAAATTTGATTAACCTCCCATAAAATGGAGATTGCGCACCTGTGCTTGCAAAAGTTTTTTTGTTAATGAACTGCAAGAGGTTTTAATGAGTGGAACAGTATTGGGGTTGCCGTATTTTCGCAAGGTGTGGAAAGTAGTTAAATTAATTGTATTGAACTCACAATTAATTTAACTACTTTCCACACCTTGCGAATGTACAGGTAAATACTGGTTGAGGCAGTGGATAACATGGAGAGGGCAATTAACAGGAGATAACTGATAACTGACATCCATTAGACATGACACGTGGAACTAGAACAGTTTACCCCAGTGAGCAAAATAAAGGGTTCAGTTCGACATTCCAACCACCTGAAGAAACGTTGTGATAGATATGGCAACAAAGAAGAGGACAGTAGTCCGAATAATGTAAATAGTATTACCTTATTTTAAAAAAAATTTCTAAAGTAATTCTGAAATAAGAAAAATAGAAAGAAAGAATATTATAGTAATATATATAGAGGGCCGCGTGCGTTTGAGTGTTGTTGAATTAGGTACATGTGCTGTTTATTCCTGCTAGAAGAAGGTCCAACTACAAGAAAACGGCGGACTCAAGTTGAGTTCAAACGAAGATGTAAAGAAAACAAACAAACAGATATATATATATATATATATATATATATATATATATATATATATATATATCAACGAATATATACATTAAAGAAACAAATTTCAAGTGACAAAGTCATCAACCTTTGTGTTTGTGTATGAACGTAAAGAGTTTGTATGTTGGTGAATGTTCCTACCTACGTGTAAGTCTGTTTCATGGCGTTTTCCCACAAGTGGACGAAAACGCAGATCTTTGCGAGAGAACATATTTTGAAATGTGTCCGCTGAAATGCAAAGTAGAAAGAGAACTAGGCGAGAAATCGCCCAGTATTTATAGTGTAGGGAGATCGTGCCCTAGGGAAACTTTTGGACAATTAAGGAGTAGTTAACTCCGACAAATTAATTTAAAAAAAACAATAGTATCTTCCACGGAAATAAACAAAACGACAGGCATTTTAATAAATGCCATCACTTCGAAAATACAAAATGAGTTAAATTAAACAAAATGTTTAATTTTGTTTCAAATATCTAAGTCTGTTGTATAAAAATAGAAAAGAACTAATTTCACAGTCACAAACGAACAGTATTCGAAGGCAAATGTTTATAACGGTGGGAAGTGAAATAATACCAATCGAAGAAAGTTCCGAGATAAGATTCAAAAACGAAATATACTACAATTGCTCCGTTGATTTAAAAGGAAGACATTTCTTTTTTTAGGATTTTTTTGGTGCTTACTATTTTTGAGAATTAGTTGAATGTTTTCCACTAAAAGATAACAAAACCTAAATTCCACATGACCAAAAAAGGAATCGATTTTCATCGCTTTCCACGACCTAAATATATTTATATATTTATTATTTATACATTGTATTTAATCTCCATTTTGCGTTTATTAAGTTAATATTTTCATATAATTCATAATTTTGATTTATTTCCCTGTGATTTATTAAAAACAAGGTAAATATTGCGTTTGAAAAAAAAAAACAAAAAACAAACAATTTTAAATGATATATAAACATTTGTTTTCTATAAGGATACAGAATTTCTTGACAGCGTTAAATCTGTGACTGATCACCGGAATGAATTTCCAACGCGCCAAATTTGAACCTAAACTTAAACTCGTTTCCTCAAAAAACGGTAACGATTTGGAAAAAAAACAAACATTAAGTGTCATTATTAGGTCAAACATAAATTTTCAAATTCAGTGCATGGTTCTAAAATCAATCTGCTCTACAGAAGAACACATGCATAGCTCGCAGAACAATCGTAGCCGGTTACACCTGCACTTTAAGATTATGATTTTCACACACACACACACACACACACACACACACACACACACACGTAACTTGTTTATAATTTTCTATATTTATAGGGAAAATTGCTCTGCATGTGTGTGCATATATATGCAGTATATACTGTATGTTTACACACGCATAGATACGCACATATTTACACACAGAGACACACGGAATATATATATATATATATATATATATATATATATATATATATATATATATATATATATATATATTGTAATTCATAGAGTCTAGAAGAATCCTCAACAGGACGCAGAAAGCACTGAACGGCCGTTTTGTCCGATTTGGGACTCATCAGCAGTGTACGTCCACAATCGAACCCAGATAGTTAAGATACAACGCAAGTGTCATACCATTTGATTATTCAAACCCCACAAAATTTCTATTACTTGTATATCCTTGCTTGATTCGGCTTCTAATGGTCTGGAGGTAGCGACTTGTCAAAAGAAGAATTGGCTCTTGGGCCACACGCCATAGGATTTCGAATACTTGGATGAGTATCACCAAGGGAATTAGTGAGTAGCGACGCTATATCAAGTCAAATCAGTTTTTTCTTCGTTACCGAAGCCCATTGGTTCGATGGTATGACGCCTCCCCTTGTATCGTAACGGCCCGGTAGCGGATACGTAGTAATAATTAGTCCCAATTAGGCCGTCCAGTGCTTTCTGCATTCTGTTAAGGAATCTTCTAGACTCAATGAATTATTATAAACGATTATTCAAATCCCCACAAATTTTTATCACTTATATATTTTTATAGCATACATATATTTATAGATTTACTGTGTCTCTCTCTCTCTCTCTCTATATATATATATATATATATATATATATATATAAATGAAGAAATATAGTTTTAAGGTGTGCTATATTTATGGTATAAAGTGCTCAATATCACGGATAGAGCGTATGTGAATATGTAAGTGAACATTGAAGTCGTCAGGCTACCGATTGCGTCTAGCATGAAACAGCCTGTCGCCTCTGAGTGCTGACTTCAATGTTCACTTTCATACACACACACACAAACACACACACACACACACATATATATATATATATATATATATATATATATATATATATATATATATATATATATATCCTATAAATATTCGAAATCTTGCGATCAGTTTAATATTTAATTTAAAATGATGAATAAATTTATTTTTAGCATTTCACAATTTATCTAAATCTTTGCTGAGACAAATATGTCAATAGTAAAAATAGCGATTTAAATGAAGAATTGAATAAATTATTCTCCGCGGCGTCTGTCCATTGATTTCGGCTCAAGAAAACAATATCTCTATAAATATTTGATGATAAACCTTCATTCACAGAGTGCGGTATCTCCTCAATAGTCAATGGTGGCTTTAAGCCTGCAGATTTGGCACAAAACGAGTAAAGAAAACAGAAATGATAAAAAAGAACTTGGAAAAGAAAGGAAAATCTGTGGTTCTTGCCAAAATAATTTATAAATTTATTCTTTGTCGTACGGTGATTATCGGGTCGGATTGTGAAGTCAGCGAGCCGTGTTCGTATTCTAGTTGAGTTGATCACATTCACTTTCGTACTAATACCCTTGGGAAAGGTATGAATCCATCTCTTCTGTACCCAGATACTGGTCAATAACAGAATAGACTGGGTCCTATAGACTTGGGTGGGAACCAGTCTAGTAGAAGGAAAATTTGAATTCAAACGACCTGATGTCATGTAAGTTCTGCCTATGTAGGCAAAAGCTAGCAGAAGGTAACTTTAGGAACAAATCCGCCTCGGAGAGGAGGAACGTGATAACCACAACATCCCGGGTGCAAAAGTAACCGGCAAGCCATTGCATTATTCTATCTTGAATGTTACCATGAAACTACATCACTTTAATCTCTGGCAACAGGTGTATGTCTTTGGTGTCTACTCCGAGCCATTGGTCTTTTTCTCGCGAGGATGCAAGATACTCTCCTCTCTGGGTTTGGCAAGATTCTCCCCTCTCTGGGTTTACCTGTCGCACAATTCTTTCTTTCGCCTGGACATTCCAGGCGCAGCTGGGATGATCAAGTATTCACATATCAGTGCAGTCATTGTCATCGAATGAAGCACGGATCACCTGCCTTGGCTAGGAGGACATCAGTCAGGTGTACCCTGCACCTGGCTTCTTGGAGGGTCTGGTGTGACATTGAGTGCAAAGTCTATCCTTGAATCATCTGCGGTGAGATACATACAACATTCTAAATTTCCAAGTAAATGGAACCTGAATAGTTTCAATGTTTTTAATAGTATTTATGTTATAGTATTTATGTTATAATATTTATTTTAATAGTATTTGTTCATATTAGTTAACGTTAGTCATTGATATTGGTCATCGCCGAGGACTCTTCATGTCTCCACTACAAAACTTTTTAGATTATCCGAACACTCTGCATTACAAAAATAATTTTTCTGATAATTCAAATCTCCATATAAGTAAGTACCGAAAAAGTCTTTTTCTGAAAGAAGTATTGAAAAAAAAAAACTTTTTTTTAAAAAAAAAAATAGTTGTTTTCTGACAAAAAAAAGTAACATTTTCATGATCAAATAACATTTTCAAACGCTATTCCAAGGTTTTGTTCAGTTTATCTTTCATGAACAAATGGGTCAATTTTTTATCTGTTTAGAGTTGGCCACGCTTTTTTTTTCTAGGATTGATTCCTGAAACTGAATTTGTAAGCGTAATTCCTGATCCTGTATTTGTAAGCTTATATATTTGTCAAGCATGATCATTATTTAGTTGTTTGAAATCGAAATTTTGAATGTTGATCCGGTTTTTAATTCTCAAAATACTTTTTTTTTACTGTTGCTCATCCAATACAAAGTCCGGGAAAAGAGCCACTCAAGATAGTGTTTATCATATGAGACAGTTGTATGAACGTATAGGCGCATATTATGAGAATATTCACGATAGATAATGGTTGACACTAGACTTGAAAAGGTTAAGATTGCAGTAAGAAGAAAAGCAACTTTTCCGGAGTCGGTTCCATAATGCGACAGTTCCGGGAGAGAAGCTGGTTGAGTGGAACTTCCTCCCGACCAATGGAATATGAAAAGAATAAGGATGAGTAAATTCATCGACGTACATTATGATCTGGCGCGTCTTAGTTGTGAAGGTCTGAACGGGTGGAACCGAGGATTGTCGTCCGCACGAACAACTGCCACGATAGAGTAGCCAGAGGTTAGTAACGCGGGAAAGTGGCCGTAGAATGGAAAACTATTAATCGCAACAAGACCGCGTAAACGCTTTTAAGCTCTGCCGACGCTGGACAGTAAGGGTTGGGCAAACTCCTACCTGCCCAGATGTAGCAGAAACACTCCGGATCTGGCTCTAGTCGATAGAGCATGGCAGGAAGCGTCAGGTACTTACTGGAGTGGTACAGCGAGTCGAGGGTTTAGGTCAGATATTTGAAAAATATTACCATGATTTCAATGCTTTCTCTTGATTTCCTGTCATGGGTTTACAGAGAGTGAAAGTAAGAGTAAAGTGGGGAGTTTGAGGAAAAGATAAAAGGAACGATGGGATGAAGATCAAGGCATCCGAAGAAGTCGATTGGCATTACATTTAAATGTTTGAAGATTATAGTTATCAGGGAAGCAAGTAAGCGGAAGGGAGTTCCACTGCTGGGAAGTTCGAGAGAAAAAATGCTGTTGGAGTAGAAGAGGCGGTTACATTTAAATGTTTCGTTAGTAAAACGGTGGGACCGAGATGCCTACCTAGTTGCACGCTTAAATTCGTGCAGTTGGGGTACCAATTGAAAAAATTCGCTTGAAGATGGAACGGAGCTTAGTACTTTAATTCAATTTAATTCAAATAATTATATTGAAGTTTTCGGCTCTTGTTTTGAAACATGAGAACTGCTATGTAGCGTGTTGGAATCATATTTTTAAATAAATAATTATATTTATGCTCTACTTCTGTATCGAGCACTGTTTTTTTAAAATAATAACAAAAGTACTAAAGAACTTTGGATTATTTACCTAACGAGTTCCTTCCTATTTTCTATATATTTTTCATATATATATATATATATATATATATATATATATATATGTGTGTGTGTGTGTGTGTGTGTGTCTGTATGTGTGTGTTTGTGTGTGTGTGTGTGTGTGAAGTTGAATCAAGAAAGACAAAAGAGCGTGGAACAAAAACTGGAAAAATCTTGTTTAATTTAATTCAGGTCTAGCATAATCCACATGATAACATTAATCCACTTCAGACCACTTCAATTCATATCACACACCCAATGTATTATTACAATGTTAACAGAAACTCTCTACCTTGATGACACACGAGCCTTGTATTGTGCAAATTTTCAATTAATAGATAGATAGTAAATAAGTAAGTAGGTAGGTAGGTAATTAGGTAGGATAATGGAGAGTTGCTCAGATTAATGAATCGTAGAGCAGAGTTCGAATTTCTATCGAGTTCGTTATTTTTTTTTGTAAATATTCGTAAAAATATTTTTACATATGTTACCCCCACCCCACTCGATTTACTTATTTTCATGAAATTTCGAGAAATTAAATTTTGATCACAATTTTTTTTTATTATTTAAAAACAGGGCTCCTTGGAGAATATAAATCATCCATTTTTTTTCAACTTGTTACACATTTCCCGAAAATCTGCTCCGAATAGTAAAACAAAAAATGTAATAAATTTATTATTACATTAGAAAAGCATTTAATTGCATTTATAAATAAGATTTATTAAAGACACTAGTGTCTTAAGAAAAAAAATCCTATGAATAATAAACTTTTACAAGAATTATCTTTCTTATTTTAATTATTTTTAATTTTAATTATAATAATTGATGAAGTTTCAAATCTGTTAAATTTCTGCATTGCTTTAATTGCGTTAGGTGATATTGTTATTCAGTGAAACTATATTTACTAATCCAAAATTTAAAAGCTTAATTCAAGTCATAATTCACCGAGATTTTTAAGATAATTTTCAATGTATATAAAATATTATGTAACGTGCCCATTTTTGAAAGTATGGTGGACAATATATTACATTATCTGAAAATAACATCGATGATTATAGTAAATTTGAAGTCAACATTTTGAAAATGAGATTACAGATTACTGAGAACTTAAAACATTATATAAAAAAAGGCGCTCACGTCATTTTCTTAAATTATTTTTCATTGATAAAGTCTCCGTAGAACAACAATCAATCCGTCATCTCCTCGTCAAACACGTAAACATGGCTACTATCAGCTAAAAAACATTGCTACTGTTTTCTTAAAAAATATCATTTCTAAACTTCAATAAATAATATTTCTTTCAAATCGGGTTAATTATAGCTTAAATCAACTAATGTGCCTCAAATGAAGTTTCAGAAAAGTAGAATTTATTTTTGGGACATTTTTGTTTAATTAAAACAATTGCATTGCGATGAAAGACACTATAAATAGGTGGTAATTAGCTAGTTTGGAAAAAATCGAATCCAATTAATATAATATAATTTCTGTTTGAAATATACCAGTTTATTTTGCTTGCTCTCAATTAAAGCTAACATGAAATCCTCAAGATAGCTTTTTCATTTTTAAAAATTCATATTAACCCTTAGGTATCACGTATTATTGAAGGTACCTATACATACATACATACATACACACACACACACACACACATATATATATATATATATATACACACATACACACATATATATATATATATATATATATATATATATATATATATATACTGTATTTTAAGATATTACATCGAAAACATGTGAAAATGCAGAGATTTTGACATACTTTTCGATTTAATATGCTAAAATAAAGAATATTGCTCTACTTTATATTGAGTCCCCTTTTAAATTAAATGTTACGAACGTTAGAATTGTATTCTATTCTTTCTCATCTTACCTATATATATATATATATATATATATATATATATATATATATAAATTTCAAGGTACCGTGGTTAAGTTTTATTTATGTTGTGTTCTTATAATTTTTTTCTTTTCTGGACATAAATTATGTAGAAATTGTCCGAATACTCTGTATGACCGAGCGCTTTCTGCTGTTCTTTTAGCCATTATCAAAGATGATTTTATTTTTGCTTTTAAGTGAATGTATTTAATAAACAATTACGCGGTTCTGTGAGGTTGGAGTAATAAAACAGACTGAAGGAAGAAAGAGGATAGTGTTACAACACGGTAAAAAATGTTGAGTAATAAAATTAAGTTCGAAAATAAAATAATTATGTTTCGTTTGAAATAGACCTTTTTTTATGTTACTGAAAACATTCTTCGTTTCAGACAAGGTTGATCTTCCCCCAGCTGGGAAGTTCATTTACAAAACAGTCGACGTTAAAGGATTAAAGCCGCTTAACTCATTATTGCAGTTTTCCTTCTCTACACAAAAAAAATGAAAAAAAATCTCTGTTACGTAGCGCCACCTGGTGTTATATTTTAGAAATAAGGTAAGAATAAAAAGGAACGGATAAAAGGAGTTTAAACCGCAGACCAAACTGTCGTTAGAGGAGAATGGTTTGGTTTGTTTTGTTTTACGGCATATCGATTTCAATGGGTTATTTAATGCCGACAAGATTTTTATTGCTGGTAATATTTTTATCTATCTATCTATCTATCTATCTATCTATCTATCAAATCTATCTATCTATCTCACTATATATTGGTTTGGTTTGTTTTGTTTTTCGGGATATCAACTTCACTGGGTTATTTAATGCCGACAAGATTTTTTATTGCTGGTAATATTTAAAATGTATTAATGGTAATATTTTTTCCTTCAAAAATGTAATTTAGTAATAGTTTTTCCTCAAAAAAATATTGCTAGTATTATAACCTATTTTTACACTTTCATAGTGTTTTGTCCCCAGTTTGGGGGTTAACTATTTGTCCATAGCTGGGAACCTTAACAGGTGCTGCTACCCCGGGTCAGGGTGCACCTGAGAACATCAGCAACTAAGAGGTGGTCCCACGCTCTTCAAAACCTCCTGATCAAAGGCCTTGATGTTGGACGTATTTTATCGTCTTACCCAGAACGGCAGAAGAGAATGGTCTTCATGTTTATGAGTCGTTTATCGCTTAATGGAAACGGTATTTGTTGATTTACAGTCAAGGAGCTCAAAATTTTTAAATATAATCATAGAAAAGGGATGGATAATGGCCTAGTTGTCATTATATTCGCGTTTGACTTAACTTAGATCAGGTCAAAATCATGTTATTTTAATCATTAACACCAAGACTACTCCGGATAGTTAGTTTTCGTTTTTATTGACATTATTTTTTATTTGCTCGTGTAAAACGTTCATAAGTAAGATTTTTTATTTATTTTAATGCATAAGTGATATGGAATAAATACACCATACTCGCCAAACACGTTCAGAAATGCTTAAACTATCGTCTTGTCTGCTTTATCTCATATCCAAGAATTCTTTGCTGATCGCTTCCATTATTATGATTGCTTTCATGACTAAATTCGCCACCAAAGGTGCCGGTTCAGAACTAAAAGTTTCCAGTTTCCCCAAAACCTGCTCTCGTCATTCAGTCCCTATTGACGTTTGTCTTTGCAATATTTGGTTGGAGACGAAATAAAATCAGAGTAGAATCTACAAATCAACCATTCGTCTTTGCAATGAATACTGCTGCCATATATGATCTGGCGCCCCCGATGTTCATCTCGAGGTCTTCGACAAAATCCAGAGACAGATACGCAATGTGATAGGTCCTGATCTGGCATCTCGTCACTTTCTTACAGACGTGTTGTGGCTTCCCTCTGTATTTTCTACAAATATTTTCATGGCATCTGCTTTGACGAACTACTTTCATTAATACAAAAATAAATTTGTACACACGCAAACGCTCTTGAAATGTGCCCTTACCAAACGCTATATATTTTTACCATTTTTTAAAAAAATCTTACATAGAAAGGATATAGCTCATAATTCATATTGAATATATCTTTGGTAGGATGTATTATCGTCGTCGGCTTATCCAAGAACTGAAAATCTTCTTTGCTTATCGCTTCCTTTATGATGATGGCGTTGATGACTAAATTCGTCGACAACGTGCTGGTACAGAACTAGAAGTTTCCATTATCACCAAGATTTTCTCTCGTCACTCATTCCTTATCACCGTTTGATTTTGCAAGAGTAAGATGGAAGCATAAGAAAACCAGAATTGAAGAAAATGCTGATGGCGTGTATTTGTTTAATGTGGACCTCAATTGATCCACACACTTGATTTCATGACCTTCCTCTGCAGCATATATGGAATGAAACCTGTAGAATCCAGTTATAAAACTGCAACGGACTGCTGCTAAACTGTAAACTGTCTAAACTGTAAGCTGTATATAACCGCTTTCTCAGACGAATGGTGGAAAAAAACGGCCCTGAACAAATGAATGAAGCTTGACGAGACACATCCACCTTCAAACTTCGTGAATTGGCGCTAATCAATCACAAAGTCAAGTGTGCAATGACGCAAACGACAAATAACAGAAATCATATGAGGAATTTCAACAGCTAAAAATGGACAGCACATGTAACCCGAAGAAAAAAATAATAAAAATATGATGATGGCGTTGATGACTAAATTCGCTGCCAAAGGTACCAGTTCAGGAATAGAAGCTTCCAGTTTCACCAAAAACCTGCTCTCATCATTCATTCTCTATTGCCGTGTGTCTTTGCAGTATTTGGTTGGAGACGGAAACAAAATCACGTCACTTCCTTACAGACGTGTTGTGGCTTCCCTCTGTCTTTTCTACAAATATTTTCAAGGCAACTACTTTGACAAACTACTTTCATTGATGCACAAACAAATTGGTAGACAAGCAAACGCTCTTGAAATGTACCCTTTCCAAACGCTAGATATATTTACCATTTTCTTTTCAAATCTTACATACAAAGGATATAGATTATAATTGTTAAATTGTCGTCTCGTCTGCTTTATCTCGTATCCAAGAATTGAAATTTTTCTTTGCTTATCCCTTCCTTAATGATGATGGCGTTGAGGACTAAATTCGCCATCAAAGGTGCCGGTTCAGAAGTTTCCAGTTTCACCAAGACTCGCTGTTGCCATTCATTCTCTATTGCCGTGTGTCTTTGCAATACTTGTCTGGAGATGAAACAAAATCAGAGTAGAAGAAAGGGCCGATAGCGTGATATTTGTTTAACACCCTTTGTCCAGAAAAGAAAGGTCTTGTTCGAACACAAGAAAAATTAAATAAAAAGCTTAACCGTAGCACCTTATCTCGTCGTTTTTAATGAAACATGCATAAAAGAAGGATTGCTGCCTAAATATAAAATTATACATATATATATATATATATATATATATATATATATATATATATATATATAGTTTTATATTTAGGCAGCAATCCTTCCTTTTCTTTTGTGTGTGTGTGTATATATATATATATATATATATATATATATATATATATATATATATATATATATATATATGTAAGCAAATGTAAATGGATATAGATCCGACAGAATGAAGAAAAATTTGAAAAAACAAACCAAAAATCCTTAAATGCAATTATGTTGTTTAAAATGAATGAAATGTCGACGTCTGACGTTTCGGTTTAATAAACCTTCTTCAAGACAATATTCAAAATAATCAAAAATTTTTAGGAATACGTTTTGAAAGCGTCGCCCATGTGACGACAACGTGACCATGCTAAACGGAAAGCTGATCATTTTAAAATTTTTCAGTTATCTGTTTTGGATAAGACTTGTTTTTTATGTCCATCGTCTTTGTCAAATTGAACTGAATTGTATTTCAGACGTCGACATTTCATTCATTTTAAACAACATAATTGCATTTAAGGATTTTTGGTTTGTTTTTTCAAATTTTTCTTCATATATATATATATATATATATATATATATATATATATATATATATATATTCGAGCTGAATTTTATTAAACAACATTTCTCTAATATCATCGGCCATTCTTCAACTTCATTATTTCATCCTTCCTGAAATTATATCGTTAATTTCTTTTTTATATTCACTAAAATTCACTTTAAACAAGGACCGAGAGCCAATTAAGGCAGAGGGTTACAGTTAAAAACGTTAATGTTTATGTTGGACCTCAAGCGATGCACACACTTGATTTCATGACCTGCCTCTGCAGCATATATGGAATGAAACCTGCAGAATCCAGTTATAAAACAGCAACGAACTGCCGCTAAACTGTAAACTGTCTAAACTGTAATCTTTCTGTAACTGCTTTCTCAGACGAAATGGTTAAAAAAACAGCTCAGAACAAATGAAGCCTGTAGGTCATAACGAGGCATATCCCCCTTCGAACTTCGTGAATTGGCGCTAATCAATCACAAAGTACTCTGCACAATGATAAAAACCACAAATAGCAGAAATCACATGAGGACTTTCAACAGCAGCAACAGCTAAAATGGATAGCACATGTAACCCGAAGAAAAAATAATAACAACATCAAGATGTTCCCATTCCACACTACTTTAAACAAAAGGGTAGGATGCCAACTGTTATCACTTCAGGAAAGTCTATTAACGACTACTATTTTTTAAGCATATCACTCCAAGCATAGAGGGAGTGCCACTAGCACGCAAGGGTTTACAGAGAGTGAGAGCAAGAGTAAAGAGGAGTGTTTGAGGAAAGAGATGGACTGCGATCAAGATCAAGGTATCAGAAAATATCGATTGACATTACATTTGGATACTAGCTATCAACGAAGCAACTAAGAGGAAGGGAGTTACGCTGTCAGCAAGTGCGAGATAAGAGGTTTTTGGAGCAGAAAAGGTGATATTTAATCGTTTCGACAGTGAATGTGTGGGACTTAGATACCAACCTGGTAACACGCTTAAATTCATGAAGTTTGGGTTACCAATGAAAGGTGCTCGTCAGAGCAGCTGCAATGAAAATATTTGTAGATTTGATAATAATACACATACTATTTGTAGATATATAATAATACACATTATAGATACATTTGTAGATATTATAATAATACGCATTTCCTTTCCGTCCCAACCAGAGACCTATGCTCAGAAATGGCTTCAAAACATTTTCGACTGAGCAATTAAAAAAAATCACACATATTTTACATAAACGAAGACCTTCGTAAAGTGTCAGTTATACTTGTGAGAATTTTTTTTATTTCTTTTATTATTATTATCATTATTATTATTATATCTTTTAATTTCTGTTGTATACACATTTCCTTCCGGGTCCCAACCAGAGACCTAAGCTCAGAAATGACTTCATGACATTTTCCAATGAGCAATTATTATTATTATTATTATTATTATTATTATTATGTGAAAAAGTGACTGTAGACGAGATGCCAGCTCAGGACCTATCACATAGCATATCCGTCTTTGGATTTTGTCGAGGACCTCGAGATGAACAGCAGGGGCACCATGCCATATATGGCAGCAGTATTCAATGCAAGGACGAATGGTTGATTTGTAGATTTGAAGGATGGACTCAGACGAGAAAAACCTTCTGGCGTGACACAGAGTACCAACTTTTCTTTGCGGTAGATGAAGCTATTGATTCAATGTAGTTGTTCCACCCCAGGGTCAGAGGAAAGCGTGAGACTAAGCAGGCGCAGAGAGACGCTCTCGTGAAAGTCGGCACTAAGTAGACCGGAGAAACGTATATTCCTGAAAAATT